TATCAACCAATCAACTAAAAAATCTAATCAAAGCTCGAGAATCCAATCTAAAACCCCTCTTCCCATCTCTCTCTTACATATCTCTACAAAATATCTTCTTTTTTAAGCAAAACAATTTTATTATGATTTAGTGAAAAAGGTACAGCACAAATCAAATGTCAAACATTACTTGGATAAAAAAGAGAAAAAATATAATAATCAACAAAGCTGACATGCGCAATGGCCAAAAGAGAACCCCTAAAGTCCTGCCTAAAAATGCCTAACCAAAAATCCTGATATACTTTAGAGAGTAACAATAAACTTTTAGTTTTTGCACCACCAGGCATATATATAATTTGGAACATTTTGTCCATTAGCTCTTTAATGCTAACACTGCTAAACAACAAGATGATCAGTTGCCATATGCTCAAATAATAAGAAATGCAAACATAAATTAAAAAGAGAGATATAAAAGAGATGAAGAAAAATGACAAGGGTAACATACTCTATTTTCTAATGAAAGAAAAACACCACAAACATTAGTCCCAAAATATAAAAATAAGTAAAGCATTAAAAATACTATATACAATAAGGAAAAACTTGTTACAATTAAACATATATTGTAAACCGAATTTAACAATCGAAGGCAAGAAAATAAAAGAAGAAATGTTTTTGGTGTTTTGCATAAAATTACTTAACTATTCTCCTTAAGAGTGAAAGCCTTGCGAAGCAAGAAGAAATTAGGATTTTCAAAGAGAATCATTTGCAAGAATATAAGATCTCAAAAGCAGAGCTAAGATTTTATAACCTCAAAAGATAATCTAGATGATCCTAAATTGGGTGTGTCAAAACCTTTTGGAACTAGTAGGAATTTTCCTAGGACAAAGAGTTGGGCTTTCTATGAAATACATTATGGAGTTAAAATTAAAATTCCTTTATTAACTTTTCCTAAAAGATTGCAAGTGTGCCCACTGTAATTGCTCTTGGATTACTGAAAAACAGCAATTATTTTACTACTTTAATGAATTTTCTTTTTTTGGGGGGCAACAATAGGCAGAGTCTATTCGATGGTTGATAGTAGACCCTCACAACAGCAAGAACTTGGAAAGATAGCAAACGCTAAGAAATGTTATCCAGCTAGTTATTAGGCTACTGCAAAAGCCATAAATTTGAAAAAGTTGGTCTATGAAAAAAAAAAAAGAAAGAAAGAAGTTTTAGGAGAAGGTTTTGCTTTGATTCCAACATACTATGTTACATCAGCCACATATTTATAGAAAATGCAATCATATTCATATATAGTCACAATGCAAAAGTTTAGGAAGCCTTATCTTAAAATTTCAATATCATTTTTATACTGAGATTCTCTCATTGAAAAATGATCAATTCAAAAAGTAAGAAATAAGTTGAGTGAATTTAGATTAGTTCTCCCTCCTCTCCATCATCTATTATCGTCTAGCTGCCCCGCATTTGAATTTCAAAATTGCCATTTTATAATTAAGCCCCCACTTAATTTATATTTGCAAATCAGTCCTGATTTTAATTATTCAAATATTATTTATAATCTCCTCAATTAGAACTCATTTTATAGCTCATTTAGTCCCTTGTCAGTTGGACTTCTTTTTCCTTATCGTTCATCCTGTAACCATGTTCTTTTGAGGAGGCTATAACAGAACATTATATTCCATTAGATATAAAGTAACAAATGAAACGGTGCTTACTGTGTTTTCATCAAAACGAGAATACTTGAACATTAGCATCAACTTGTAATGGTGATTTTTTCATCTCCTTTTAAAGTGGAAAAATGAATCGACTAAATATTTTTTAGAGCCTCTAAGATTACCGGATCTAAAAAAAAATCTAAATAATCATAGGGTGTACATACTCACAAAAATTTTATAAAGGAAAATTACATACACACCACACAATTCTTATGTATTTACATTTCTAATACCCAAAGTTTGACACTTACACATATAACGCCTCGGTATCGTAAACCTCCACGGAAAAGTGTATTTCATTTTTTAAAAGCTAGTGTTGGTGGTATTTTTGATGTGATATTAAAATTTGGGTGGTATATATATAAATATGAATGTTTGGGTGTTCGATATGCAAGTTGACAACTGCAAGATCTATGGATACAGCATTAAAAACCAAATTGAATAAGCAGCTCGCGTAATGGTTGAAACTTGCTCATTAAATGATCCTATTCGAACTCAGTCATTGGCTACACCACGAAATGTATGGTTCCAAGACAAAGTAATTGGTAAATCATGGATTGAACAAAATTGTAATTTCAGTTCATCCCTCGTGTTTTCCTACTCAAGAATGCAACACTGCCTTGATACTTGTTTGAGCTTTTCTAAGTCATTTTTTGTTAAAGGATTTTTTCCCAACAAAAGCTGTCTTACAAGTGATAACGCTATATTCTTCCCACAAACCATACATTGACTTCTTAATTCATGAAAGCTTGGTAAGTTTTTTACAAAGCAGCAATTTATACTTAGGATGAACACGAGTTGTGCAAAAAAATAACAATGTCAGGAGTCTACAACAAAAGTTTCCCTTCCAACACCCAAGGGAAATTATCTCAACTCCCACACACAAAGGAACTGTAATGTTAGAAGCTTTACAAAATTGCAGATTAATAGTTCTGAAAATTGTGCTACATTATGATTTAAATAAGCTGAAACATAGCAGACCCATACCTTGCTCATATTCTAATGCTTGAAGTATCATTTCAACCTGTAAGACAAAAAAATGTAACACAAAAGAAAATAAATATTATAATGCTGCGGTGTATATTAAATACTCAATTAATACATACTATTGAGTTGGCCAAATAAGAAAGCAGCACTAATAACAAAAAGTTTGCATCAAGAGAAACAGTCTTCAGATGACAAAGTGTTGTCAAGCCAAATTTATTTATGGGATGAATGGGAACACATTTGACTTTTTCTTTTAATTTTTTTATTTTATACTTATTTTATTTTGTTTAAATTTTTATTTGAAATAACATTTTTGGTATTTTATAACATGTTTAGTTGTTTTAAAAAAAAAATCAAAAATAACTTCTAGGTGTTTTGAGTGTTATAAAATGAACTAATTTATTTTTAAAAATAAAAAATAAATACTTGCAAAAATAAATGCACTAAACAATATATATTTTTAAAATAAAAGCAAAAACAAAAAAAAAATAAAAGTGATCCCAAACAAGCCTTTAGCAATTAGGAATGGGTTTATCTACAATGTAAACATTGATAAAATCACCAATTTCAAGATTTATGCTACCAATGTTTGAGTAAAGAACATTATTTATACAAATTGCAATTCTCATACATTTTATATAAGACAAATTAATTAATGAAGGTTGTTCTTTGTACCTGCTCGCTACAAAGCTTTCTAATATAGCATGCACATGCCATAAAGATAGCAAATAAATGTACAGACTATTTTAAAGCAAGCTTAGTGATTGCATATCCATGATATTCGACGGCTCAAAAGAAGATAGTTTAGTCTAAGTGCTATCTAAATTATGCTTCGAATATGATTATTCTGTAACAAGGCTTAAATACTGTGATCATGCCTATGAGTATGTCTTAGATTGTGCTTAACTCTCGAACACAAACATCAGGATTCCATTTTTTATTGTGCCATTTGCTTGACATAATGGGCATAAATTTTTCCACTCAAACCTGCATACTTCACAAATCAATCTTATTTTAAGTATGTTGTATGAATGTGGTGTAGTGTGGTACCTATGAATTATTTTCACATCCTATAATGTCATCAAGGACACGAGACGGGGAGGGGACCCTGGACCGGTTTTCTCCAAGTGGGGGATGGTTGCCGCCCACTCCTAATAGCAACAAAAGTATTTCGATCTCTTAGTTTTCTTAGATTCCTTTGTAGATGTTGACCTCATTTTGAGGTCATTTCTCCTCTTCATAGAGCCTAGGATCTAGCCATAGGACTTTCCTATCGATTATCTTAGAGAACTAGACTTGGGACTCACCTTTTTAAGAAACGAACCCCACTTCCTGATTCTCTTGTGGTGTCTCGCCTTGGTGGTCTCAAATCATCATCATTTGATCGAGTGGTTAAGGATCAGCATTTGGAGGCCCAAAGAGAGCTCCCACAGGATTTAAAATTCATAGGAAACCAAATATGACTTTAATACATTCGCGCACACAAATCGATAAATTTGTCTAAACAACCTTGGATGATGAAATGGACTGCGTCGGCGCGTCCGAGACATCGTTTTTAGCTAGAGAAGACACCCACATTGTTATAATTCAACACACGAACAAATTGCACACAAATCGATGAATTCGTCTGAATGTCCCCGGATGTTTAAGTTTTTCTTTTACGCTTGGTTAACATGAGCAAGGATCGTTTATACAACATTATTTTCTAAGGCCGCTCATTTAAGTATCACCTTGCTATATGACAAACTTTTCCTTTAAGGCAATGTGGTTTATATGGATTCAACTTAGCATTCTCTGTTCAGCACGCTTTAAGTATTATCATCAAATCTATTTAGATTCCAGTACAGGTTCTTGAACACAGTTTTGCGGTGTAGATATTGGTTCGATATGCACATGTTGGGTATGTGTTTCATGCCTAATCTTATGTGATTACATACTTCTATGCTTGATTCTATTCGAGGGTGCTAAAAAATTAAGCTTATTATCTTTCATCGTGCATCATTGGATATGAGAGTGAGTGATTGAAGTAACCCTCGTTATTGGCATCCTTTATAGAATTGTTGTGAGAAAGGAATATGTATATACTGGAATTTATAGTCAATCCAGGTGGCTAAGGCTACATGCATTCTTTGATTCTAAATTTATTGAAATATCAATATGCCCTATCATTTGAATCTTTGGAAGATGAATTTTGGTCAAACAGGTTTAACTGAAACTATTTGGAATAATTTTAATGAGCATTGTATCTCAAATTTTGAGCAAATTACATGCTCATACACTTATTACACAATCCTAGAGTATTTACATGCACGCCAAACAATTCTTACATATCTACGCATCTAACACTTTAATTATGCAAATTTCATCTTCTAAAAATGACATGATGGCATGATTGTTTGGCTTGCATGGAAGTTACAAGATTATTTGGAAATATATTTTCTTTCACTTTCATGATACAAAACATACAAAATTGTTGAAAATTATGTATGGAATATCAAAGTGGCTTATAATTTGAAAGCGGGGCTTTAAACACTCTTTTGGTAGGGCTTAATACTTGTAGGTTAGGTGTTAACTTTGCAAAAATCTAAAAATGTTGGGTGGCTCATTTGCAAGAATTTGAAAGCTTTTATGTTGCATTTACAAATGTTGAGAAGTTGTAATGCTTTACTTTTACAAAAATCTGAAACCTCTTATGTTGCATTTGCAAATATGAAAAGTTATGGTGCTATACTCATTTGAAAAATCTGAAACTTTTCAAATTCAATTTGGAGAGTTTGGAGGGGATATATGCATCATTTTGGGGCAGATTTAAGCATCGTTTTAAAGCTGTTTATTCACTATTTTGGACAAATTTAAATACTGTTTTTTAGGTTGAATTAAGAACTGTTTTGGAAAGGTTTTAAGCACTATTGTGGGCCGCCTATATACATGATTTTGGAGCTTCCAAAAATGCATTGTTGGGCTGAATTTGCTGCATTTCGGTGCTCTTAAAAACACGTCTTTTAGGCTGAGCTGGCTGCTGTTTGGAACCTTTTGAAAATGCTTTCGTGGGCTGATTCGGGCTGCAGTTTTGCCTTGTTTAGGAGGGGTTTTGTTGGTTATTTTTAAGATGTATTTGGCACTAATCTGGGCTGTTGTTTTGTTCTATCATAGTGATATGTTTGGGCTGCGCCTGAAGCACTCTTTAGTGATATGTTTGTGTTGCATGGTGTTTGGGCTGCACTTTGAAGCTCCCTTTAGTGGTGTTTGAGCTGCACTTGAAGCTCTCTTTAGTGATGTTTGGGCTACATTTTAAAACTTTATTCGTTAAAGTTTAAGTTGCATTTTGAAGCCTTATTCGTCATTTTTAAAGCTTTATTCGTTAAGATTTAAGTTGTATTTTGAAGTCTTATTCGTCATTTTTGAAGCTTAATTCGTTAAAGTTTTAGTTGTATTTTGAAGTCTTATTCGTTAAAGTTTTAAATTGCATTTTGAGGCTTCTATACATCGATTTGGGCACTTTTAAGTGCTAATTTTTTTAGGCATTTACGCATATTTTTTGGGCTGATTTGATCTTTGTTTTGAAAGAATTTAAACGTCTTTAGGCCAATTCACTTGCAGTTTTGCCATTTGCTTAGCTGATTTGTTTTTTTAGAAGTAGGTCAGCCTTCCCTTTTACGCTAATTTTTTTTACAACGGTTAAGTTAAAAATGAAAATTTCTGATTTAATTATTTTCAGGATTAATTTACGGTCTTAAAAAATAAAAAGAAATATGAGGGAATAAAAAAAATGATACTTAGTTTGTTGAGATGATTGAAACCCAATGGGAAATAGGGTAGCAAACATTCACAATTTTTTTTTCTTTTACATAATAAAAAAAAATTGTAATTGTGAGAATTATTGAGAATTGGGAGAAAGTAAGAGTAAATGATTCAAGAGTTAGCGGCATGAATTGAAAGATCAATATGCTATCAATTAGAACCCCTAAACATTGGTTTGACTTAAGCACAGTTGTTTTAATTAAGATTGAAACACATTTCACAAACTTTTTTGCCAAAATTATAGGTTTACCCCCTATATCTTAAGAGTCTGATAGTGAGCTAAGTTTGATCTAAATATGTTCGAGGATTAGTTGGAAAACACTTAATTGAAGAAAGAACAATTTAAAACAACATTTTAAAACATATTAAGCTCAAGTTAAAATGTAGACTTCCTAAATTTTAGGAGCACACCCTAAGCGAAAGTTCTTTTACCTAAGTTTCAAATAGGCACTGAAATTAGGCACAACCCTAATTCACAAGTTAGTTAGAGCAATAGACACGGTATGCACTAGGTTGTGGTTCATGACTGATTTAATTAAATCAAATAATAAAATTCTCTTCATAACTTGACCTAAAATGAAACCCAATGCTCCGGGATTTGAGCTTGAATCTTACACTCAAATCCTCCTGGCAATTGGGGATATTTCCAATGTCACATATAAATCGCCCACCCTTGGTCCTTTATATGTGATGTGTTTTGTTTTATTTGTTTGTCCTTTTTTTCTACAATTTGTTTCGAGTCTCTGTGGGTTGATTTCAGTTTTTCTCAGAGCTTTCAATGTGCTACACTAAGTTTGATATATACCTAAACACATGTTTGTCCTGCTAGTTAAATTTCTCTACCATACTGTTACCTGAGACGTTGATCCCATTTACAGGTGCAGCAATAACAAGAAACTCAGGTATCCAAAATTTATTGTGCATTTATAGCATTTTACTGCATTTTCTTATGTTGTTTTTTTTTATTGCACTTTATACTACTTTCATTTAATTTAATTAAGATTGAAACACATTTCACAAACTTTTTTGCCAAAATTATAGGTTTACCCCCTATATCTTAAGAGTCTGATAGTGAGCTAAGTTTGATCTAAATATGTTCGAGGATTAGTTGGAAAACACTTAATTGAAGAAAGAACAATTTAAAACACTTCAAGCTCAAGTTAAAATGTAGACTTCCTAAATTTTAGGAGCACACCCTAAGCGAAAGTTCTTTTACCTAAGTTTCAAATAGGCACT